TTTTTTTTTGATTAGTGCCAGCAATGTTGGGGTAAGATGGTATCTCATTGTAGTTTTGATTTGCATTTCTCTAATGGCTAATGATTGTGAGCATTTCCTCATGTGTCTATTAGCCGCCTGAATGTCTTCTTTGGTGAAGTGTCTGTTCATATCCTTAGCTCATTTTGTAATTGGATCATTTATATTTTTGTTATTGAGGTGTTGAAGTATTCTATACATTTTAGAGATTAGACCCTCATCAGATATGTCGTAGTCAAAATTTTTTCCCAGTCTGTAGGTTCTGTTTTTACTCTTTTGGTGAAGTCCTTTGATGACTATAAGCAGTTTAATTTTTAGGAGCTCCCAGTTATCTAGCTTATCTTCTGGTGTTTGTGCACTGTTAGTTATGGCTTATATTCTATCTATGCCATGTATTAGGGCCACTAGTATTGTCCCTATTTTTCCTTCCATGATCTTTATCGTTTTAGATTTTATATTTAGGTCTTTGATCCATTTTGAGTTAGTTTTTGTGTATGGTGTGAGATATGGGTCCTGTTTAATTTTTTACAGATGACATCAAATTTTTTGAGCACCAATTGTTAAAAGACTGTATTTTCCCCCATTTAATGGATTTTGCACCTTTGTCAAATATCAGCTACTAAGAGGTGGATGGATTTACATCTGGGTTCCCAATTCTATTTCACTGGTCTATGTGTCTGTCGTTGTACCAGTACCAGGCTATTTTGACTACCATGGCTGTATAGTAGGTTCTGAGATCAAATAGTGTGAAGCCTTATACTTTGTTCTTTTTCTTCAATAATGCTTCGCTTATCTGGATCTCTTTCCTTTCCATATAAAGTTGATGATTAGTTTTTCCATCTCATTAAAGAATGCTGTTGGTATTTGGATCAGGACTGCATCATATCTGTACATAGCTTTGGGTAGAAATGACATTTTCACAATGTTTAGTCTTCCTATCCATGAGCACTTACTGATGAAGATCAAAGACTACAGCCTTCAGTATGGATTACAACTTAACATAAAGAAAACAAAAAATCCTCACAACTGGACCAATAAGCAACATCATGATAAATGGAGAAAAGATTGAAGTTGTCAAAGATTTCGTTTTACTTGGATCCACAATCAACACCCATGGAAGCAACAGTCAAGAAATCAAATGATGCATTGCATTGTGCAAATCTGCTGCAAAAGACCTCTTTAAAGAGTTCAAAAGCAAAGATGTTCCCTTGAAGACTAAGGTGCACCTGACCCAAGCCATAGAGTTTTCACTCGCCTCATATGCATGGGAAAGCTGGACAATGAATAAGGAAAACCAAAGAAGAATTGAGGCCTTTGAATTGTGGCATTGGCAAAGAATATTGAATATACCATGGAATGCCAAAAGAATGAACAAATTTGTCTTGGAAGAAGTACAACCAGAATGCTCCTTAGAAGCAAGGATGGCGAGACTACTTCTCATGTACTTTGGACATGTTATCAGGAGGGATCAGTCCCTGGAGAAGGACATGATGCTTGGTAAGCTAGACAGTGAGTGAAAAAGAGGAAGACCCTCAAGGAGATGGATTGACACAGTGGCTGCAACAATGGGGTCAAGCATAACAAGGATTGTGAGGGTGGCACAGGACCAGGCAGTGTTTCATTCTGTTGTACATAGGGTCATAATTGACTAGATGGCAGTTAACAACAGCTACAACAATTCATGAGCATAATTATCCTAAGCTGGGTTCTCCAGAGAAGCAAAACCAGAGAAAGAGATTCATATCACGGAAATGGCTCACGAGGTTGTAGAGGCTGGAAGGTCCCAAGTCCATGGGTCAGGATAGAGGCTTCTCCTGATTCATATAGCTGCAGGGGCTGGCAAACCCAAGATCAACAGGTCAGAGAGCAGGGCTCTTGGTCATAGGCTGCGAAGATCCATGAATCCCAAGATCGGCAGGCAATACCGCATGCATAAACTGTTAGCTGCAGTATACAGTGTGAGCAAAAAGCCACTGAGCCTTGCCAGAATGTCCGCTTATATTCAATGCAGGTCACACGCCCAAGGAAACTCCCTTTCAACTGATTGGCTACTCATAGCAGATCCCATCATGGGGGTGATCACATATCAAATCTCAACAGGGAAGTGATCACAACATTATACGACTGCTGAAACACTGAGAATCATGGCCCAGTCAAGTTGACACACAATCTTAACCATCACAGTGGTATATTTTTCCATTTATGTAAGTGTCCTTTGGTTTCTTGCAATAATGTTTTGAAAGCACTAATATACTTTGGTCTCTATACACTTGCCTTTTCTTGTCTTTTTATATGTTAGATCATAAAATATTTGCCCTTTTGTGTTTGGCTTGTTTCACTCAGCATAATGTCTTCCAGCTCCATCCATACTGTAGCATGTATCAACACGTCATTTCTCCTACTGGTTGAGTAGTATTCCATTGTATATATGTACCACATTTTGTTTATCCATTTATCTGTTGGGCGTTTAGGTTGCTTCCCCCTTTGGGGTACTTTAAATAGTGCTGCAATGAACATTGTGTATAGCTTCTTGAAATTGGTTTTTCCAATATACTTTACAGTTCTCTTTTTAACTTTTTCATTACTTATTTAACAGAATTTTATATTATATTCTCTCATCAAATCTTTGGAATAGTTTCTATCTCCCTCCTTAGACCCTGACCTTAGACCTGGTGTTTTCCACAGAACATTGTACCCAGCTTTATTTTAACTCAAGATGATTTACATTAACTTTTTAAATTAGAATAAAGTCCAGCCAAGTGAATGATCTGATCCCTGTTCTCCCCCAAAGGAAAATCTTGACATAGTTCCTGTTTGTCTCATAATTTCCCTTTTTGGAAATGACTTGAGTCCATCGAAGAAGCAGAAGCACAGTTTCATTAGAGAGCATGCGATGATCCATTGTTGAGTATTGGCGAGCCACAGAAGTCAGAGACATTCACAGAGCAGGCTTGCAAGCAGGTTTATTACTATTATTTTTTAATTGTTAACCAATATTTAATTATGATTATTTGTTTTAGAGTATTGTTGATACTGTTTTAAATGTTCCATTTTATGATGGGCTTATAAAAAACCCATTGTATTTTCTTCTTGATTTATCTACCTATAACCCTCAATTTTAGCTTATGCTTATAGAAACTGAAACCAAATGTTCTTTGAAAGGTATCTTGTTCCAATACAACAACAACCTGTTGCAGTAGATTCTGACTCATAGTGACCCTATAGGACAGAGTAGAACTGTCCTTTAGGGTTTCCAAGGAACAGCTGGTGGATTCGAACTGCCAACCTTTTGATTAGCAGCCAAGCTCTTAACCACTGGGCCACTGGGGCTTCTCTTGTTCCAATAGGACCTCAGAATTCAGCAAAAATAACCTATAGGTAATCTTAATATAGACTGCAAGGTAATGAATACTGGGAAGAAATTAAGAATGATGATGACCCTATTGGAATTCTGACAAATGCTTTTTATTTTAAGCTGAGAAAAATCTCAACTATTCTTTGTTAAAGGATAATGCGTGAAATTTTGCTTTATATACATACATATATCTATACTACCATACATTACCATACATCTAAAAACAATCAAACCTTTTTGTAGACAGCCTCACTGGTGATTCTATAGAAAATATGATACACATTGATTGTTCTTTTCTGTAAACATTATACACAGTGCCTTTCATGGGTTGCTTTATTCTTTATAGCAGTGTAGTAATTTGCAACAGTTCAATAGCCCTTCTATCTACAAATCTGGAAGCATAACTATGCCAGAAATGTCACATTTAAAGGAAAATCTCATTTAATTGGGTATGACAAGCCACTATTAAAGAGCAAGGACTGCAGTTCATGTGTGGAAATAAGGCCTACAAAGTCCTCCTAGGACACTGGTCCATAGCTTTTTGAGTCCCAGCCTGACAGGTGGAAAAGGATGTTACTTCTGACAAGCCAGGATAATTGGTGAACTTTGGGTGTCTCAGAGAAAAAGGAATTTCATCCACAGTTATAGGCACTGCAAGCAAAACTCTGAGGAGATGAGTGGGGGAGGGTTCTCCGGATAAACGAACTGATATTGGCAATAAAAATATTTCCGGTTATGATAGATGTGATTAAAATTACGACCAATAGGCCTCTTCCAGACAGATGTTAACTCCTTAGCCTCAGTATCATAAGACCGTTGTTTTGTTAACTATGCAACAAGGAGGTCTTTATGTCTTTTTTGGTTTATTGTTGTAGTTTAAGTGAAAGTTTACATTTCAAGTTAGTCTCTCATACAAAAATTTATACATACATTGTTTTGTGACCCTAACTGCTCTCCCCATACTGCAACAGCACACTCTTCCTTTCCACACCTGATTTCCCGTGTCCATTCAACCAGCTCCAAACCCTCTCTGCCCTCTCATCTCAGCAGGTTTATTTTTAACATATGTAACTAGTTTTGGTAAAGAGTTATCTCTATGACTTTCTTGAGGATTTCTGGCTTTCTTATTCACCAGGGAACTGGGGTAACCGCTAACACTGCTTTGCAGAAGTGGTATAATAGGGCTGATTGAAGAGAAAGTGGGGTAGAATCAACACTGATTTAGTGAAAAACGACATTTTTAGTGTTTGAAAATACCTGCAAAAAGTTGTTCTGCCTCCACTTGGGGATTAATTCTTCAGCTTGATGGCCTTTCAGGAGCTGTTGGACAAAGCAGGAGGACAGGGGAGATTCCAAATCCTTCAGATTATTTTCCTTTTAACATCCCTTGGAGCAGCACACATTCACAGTCTGCTGGAGAACTTCACTGCAGCTGTCCCTGGTCATCGCTGCTGGGTTCATGTTCTGGACAATGACACAGTCTCTGCTAATGGCACTGAGAGCCTGAACTCAGACGTCCTTCTCAGAATCTCCATCCCACTGGACTCAAACCTGAGGCCAGAGAAGTGTCGTCGTTTCCTCCATCCCCAGTGGCAGTTCTTTCAGCTTAATAGGACTTTCCCCAACATGAGTGAGCCAGACACAGAGCCCTGTGTGGATGGCTGGGTGTATGACCGAAGCATCTTCCCCTCCACCATTGTGAATGAGGTAAGAGGCCCCATTAACATTTTTGAGTGTGTGATAATTTGCGCTTTGGAGATCACATGAAAAATGACCAAATTCACAGGGGACCATTCTTACTTCAAGATTTCTAGGTATTCCCATGTATAGCCATGATACAGAACTGGACTGTGTCATGTGAAGTAGTAAATGATATGTTAATGTGTAGTAGGTACAAAAAGAAAAAACCAACCCGTTGCTGTCGAGTCAATTCTGACTCATAGAGACCCTACAGGACAGTGTAGAACTGCCCCATAGGGTTTCCAAGGAGCACGTGGTGGATTCGAACTGCTGACCTTTTGGTTAGCAGCCGTAGCTCTTAACCACTATGTCAACAGGGTTTCTGTGCAGTAGGTAGTCTGTAAAAATGGTGTGGCGGGGGCATCTGACCCCCTCTAAGTTCACAAGGGGAAAGGAGAATCGAGATCAACAGTCCAAGGCTTATTCCTATGAGGCGAATGTCAGGCATGCCTCCTCTCTCCACCGTCTTTACCAATTCTGACACCAACAGTCCCTCCCATAGCACTCCCTAGTTCTCTGCTGGGTTTGATAATTCGTTGCAATGGCCACACAGAACTCACACACCAAACTCACTATTGTGGGGTTTATTAGGGAAGTAGCAGGCTAGAATTCAGGTTCAGGAATGCTTAGGATACAGCTCTTCAATCAAGACAGACTTTTCTCAGCTGTGCCCACAGGCAGGTCTCTCTCTGGTCCTGAGTCCCTCAGCCTGGCCTCTGCCCAGCTACCGCAAGTGTTACAAAGCTCTTTTAGCTCTGCCAGTAAGTACCCAGAGGCACCCCACTCCACCAGTAAGCCTTGTTTACAAAGCTCTTTCAGCTCTGCCGATAAGCACCCAGAGGTACCCTACTCCACCAGTAAGCCTTGGCCAGGAAGCCAATGTGTCGTTTCCTGCAGGTCTTCTGCCTTTGCTGACACTGTTTTTCTGCTGCCACTTCTCACCGTCTTCAGTGTTACAGCTCTCTTTCTCTTGGTCTCTTGGTTCCAGGAGATTCTCAGTGCAGTGATCCCAAGTCTCAAGGACGTGCTCTACTCCTGGCTCTTCTTTCTTGGTTGTGGTGAGATTCTCTTTCTGCTCTGGAATTAGCTCTCTTTGAAGGCTAGCTGGATGGCAAAACTGACCGATCCCCTCGTTAGGGTTCCATATACCTTATTTGCATGGCCCCACCACCACAAAGGTGCCATGCACCTTATTTACATTATTAGCAAGCTATCCAACCCCCTTCGTGGACCACAAGCCCTCGTTTGCATAGTCCCACCCAGTCATTTGGTGGGAGTTACAAACATTATGGTTAAGGACCATATTAAGTAATTCACTGTATCACATACTCCTAAACAGACCTCTTGCTTAAGGAATGGTTTCTTGGAGAATTTTATATTTTAGGTAAGACCCAAAGGATATGTGCTAGTTAATGAAGTATGGTGGTTAGACAGTGGAAGGAGGAAATAGAAAAAGATATCCAGATAGTTAGAATAGATTGTTGGAAGCTTGTGAAGTGAGAAAGCCTGCTGTTGTTTTCAAAGAGCTGAAAGAAGTTCATTATTTGTTGAGTTTAGGATGCAGTGTAGAGAGGCTGAACATGGGGTTGGTGAGCAGCATCGAAATAGCAGAGAACCTTGCCGATCATGTAAGGAGGTTTGAATGAGGGGCCCCTGGATGGTTTAAAGCTACTGAGAAGCTCTTCATTCTCTTTCAGTGGCACTTGGTATGTGGATCCCAGAGTTTAAAATCAGTGTCTCAATTCATTTTCATGATTGGAGGGCTGATGGGAAGTCTCATATTTGGCCATCTCTCTGACAGGTGAGTGTCATTTTTTTTTTTTTTCAGGCTTGTTTATCAGCTCAGGTATTTACTCCTTCATTCAACAAACGTTCATTGTCTGGCTCTGTCTTTGGTTCTGATCTCTCCCACAGGAACTTACAGTCTAATGAGATCAGTGTACTGGAAATTATAGTTGGTGTCATAGTTAGAGTTGGAAGTGCCATATGCATGGAAAGGAAGAAGGAACATAAGAATATCAGGAAAGGACTTTCAGAGGAGATATCCTGACACAGGTTTAGGTTAGAAATATGTAACAGCACCTTCAACCTTAGCCATGTCCAGAATCTCCTATACCTGTGATGCAGGAGCTAAATAATTGCAATGTCACAGAGACTAGCCATCATTGCATAGTTGCAAAGTAGCTACACAGGTATAGTGTCTTTAGATCATTATAAAATTAGTTGGATGGTAGCAAGAGGGTACTTGTGTCTACCCTGAATGTTAGTTATTTGGTGATTTGTTAGATAAAGAGAGTTTTTGCAGCCACACAAGGTAAACATGGAAGAATCTTTCATGGCTTGGGATATAAAAAGCTCAGAATGCTCAGTTTTGTGCCTCCTATGACATGGAGATCCCATAGTTTGAATAGGCAGGTACATGAATAATTTCTTTTATAAGGATAAGCATAAAGCTGGTTCCTATGAGGCAGAGGTTAAAGTTGTCCCAAATGTCCAACTTCTCCAAACTGCTGTACCACTCCATCATCTCTAACATCAACTACCCCTCCTCCCCTCAGTACTCCCCCTCCTGTCTTTGGGTTCGGTGTTTTGCTGCAACGTCTCACAGAACTCATGAACCGTACTTACAGTTAAGTGGTTTATTAGGGAAGAAACAGGGTACAACTCGGGATCAGGATCCACTTGGAAGTAACGAGAACAACTCAGGGTACAATTCTTCGATCAAGACAGCTTCTTCTCGCCCTCTGATGCCGGGCCTTGCTCAGGGCCTTCTTGGGCAAGTGCTACAGCTCTTGGCTCTGTGTGTCAGCAGGCCCCACCACAGCCCTCTTGTGCCTGTCTCCTGGTTCCTGCCATCTCGGGCTGCTATCGCTCTTGCTACTGCTGTGTCGCCATCTCTGTCTTCAGTGTTACAGCTCCTTCTTCTCTCTCTCTCTCCATGTCTCCCTCTAAAATCTCTGTTAGGGAAACTGTTATATAGCAAGCTCCTCATCAATTTCAAGGCTGGCTTCCCTCAGCAAGACCACGAACTAACCTATCTCCTGCAAGGGTTCCATGTACATTATTTGCATTAGCCACCCTCACAAGAGTTCCATGCACCCTATTTGCATTAGCAGATTATTTGATCCCCACATACGCCTTATTTGAATATTCCCACCCAATCATTTTGTGGAGCTTACAAGACCATGCATGGTTCTTGTTGTTGTTGTTAGGTGCCATTGAGTTGGCCCTTACTGATAGTGACCCTATGGAAGGGCCATATTAAGTAATTCACTGCACCTCAGCAGGCAACCATTGCCATCACCCAAGATTTTATCTTAGGTGACAAAATTGGGGGAAACTGAGATGCCTGTGGTCATCTCACAACCTAACACCCTCTTGTAAAGTCTGCTGAAAATTATGTCTTTTGAGCTTATTGCAGTGATGTGTAACTATAATATTCTCAGGTCCTTGCTGCTCATTTTCACCAATCTCAGACCTGGGACTCGGTGGTGTTCATTAAAATTACATGGTAGTTTAAATGGAAAAGAGAGGAGAGAGAGCAGTTTTGATTCAGTATTAACTGAAGGCAAGAAGTAGAAAATGAGAGTGGAGAATTAGGAAAGACTTTGCAGGGCCCTGTATGCTAAGCTAAGGACTTTGAACTTCATTCAGAAATCTAAGGAAACCATTGAAGGTTTGGGCAAGGGAGGGAAATGATCACATTGACATCTTGAAAAATTCAAGCACAAGTATTCATAATATCCTCACACTGTAAATGTCATTCATTGGCAAAGTAGAATTGTAGTAAGTATGTAATGGACTCCTATGTAGTTATGAAAATGAAAAAAACTATTCTGATATTCTACAATGTGGGTAATTTCTTCCAGTTATACTAATGAAGCCTGTCACTGTCATGGTTAATTTTATGTGTCAATTTGGCCATGCTATGGTGCCCTTTTGTCTGGTCAAACACTAGTCTAGATGTTGCTGTGAAGTATTTATGTGTGATTAGCATTTAAATCAGTTGGCCTTAAGTAAAGCAGCTGTTGCTGTTAGTTGTCATCCAGTCGACTCCGACTCATGGCGACCCCATGTATGTCCAGTAGAACCGTGCTCCATAAGGTTTTCAGTGACTCATTTTTTCAGGAGTAGATTGCCAGGCCTTTCTCCTGAGGCATCTCTGGGTGAGTTTGAACTGCCAACCTTCGGCTAGTAGTCAAGTGAAGTAAAGCAGACTACACTCCATAATGTGAGTGGGCATCATCCAATCAGTTCAAAGCCTTAAGAGCAAAACCAGAGGTTTCCTGAGGGAGGATTTGGCCTCTAGACTATAAACAGACATCTTGCCAGAATTCCTCTCTGTCTCACACCACCTGATCTGCCAATTTGGGATACAAGACAGCTAGAATTTCCAGCCTATTGCCTTACTTGTGGATTTTGGATTACCAGCCCCTACAATCTTGTGAGTCAATTCCTCAAAATCTCTGTGTGTGTGTGTATATATGTATATACATACATACATCTATATGTAATATATATACATAAACATATATGTATATATATGTGTGTGTGCGTGCAGCGCACACATAGTCCCTGATTTACGATGGGGTTCTGTTCTGACAACTCCATCGTAAGTCAGTTCTGACGTAAGTCAAATACTTCTTTTTTTGTTTTCATTATTATTGCCTTTTATTATCAGTATCTTTATAAATCCCATCTTTTATAAATCCCATCTGTGAGTAAATATCTGAGAATGATAACATCAGCAAATTACCCACTGCAACACTGTATGTAATACATATTACTAACGATAAGATGTACAAAAAAAAAAGTAAAAAACCAAATGGTTGTAAGTGCCGTTCATCATAACTTGAATATGACATATACATATTTACTTATGTATATCTGGTCTGTTTCTCTAGAGAACCCTAAGACAGTCACAAAGCGTATATACTGCTTGATTTCATTTTTGTAAAGATTTGAAAAAAACAAACTAATGTGTGGTGTTAAAATCAGGATAGTTGCTTTTTTGTGGGAGTACTAACTGGGGACAAAAGATGTTGTTAGGTGCTGTCAAGTCTGCTCCGACTCATAGCAACCCTATGCACCACAGAATGAAACACTGCCCTGTCCTTCACCAACTGCCCGTTGTTGCAGCCACTGTGTCAATTCATCTCTTCCAGGGTCTTCCTCTTTTTTGCTGACCCTCTACTTTACCAGGCATGATGTCTTTCTCCAAGGACTGGTCCCTCCTGTTAACATGTCCAGAGTATGTAAGATGAAGCCTCAACATCCTCGCTTCCAAGAAGCACTCTGGCTGTACTTTTTCCAAGACAGACTTGTTCATTCTTCTGGCAGTCCATGGTATATTCAATATTCTTTGCCAACACCGTAATTCAAAGGCCTCAATTCTTCTTCAGTCTTCCTTATTCATTGTCCAACTTTCACATGCATAAGAGTTGATTGAAAATATCATGGCTTGGGTCAGGCTCACCTTAGTCCTTAAAGTGACATCTTTGCTTTTCAATACTTTAAAGAGATCTCTTGCAGCAGATTTACCGAATGCAATGCATCATTTGATTTCTTGACTGCCACTTCCATGGGTATTGATTGTGGGGGTGCACGATAGGCTTCTTTTATGGTAGTCATGTTCACTTCCTTGACCCGCTTGATAGTTTAATGAATGTATTCACTTTGTAAAACTTAATCAAGCTGTGAAGATTCATGTGTTCATCTCTCTATATGCTTTTTAAACTTCAGTAAAACTTTTATTATTTTGAAAAGTTTCACAAAAACAAGGATGTGGATAGATTGGGTATACAAGAATTCTTTATACGATCTTTGCAAATTTTCTGTAAAATTATTCCAGTAAGAAAAGTTTATTGAAAAAAAGAGGTAGACAGACTTATATAAATAGATAGATACATATATACATGTGAAAGATACAGATAGCTGAGAAAGACAAAGACAATCAGAAAGAGATAACTGTAGTAATTCCCACTCAATCACCTGATGCCTATGCGAAGAAAGAGAAAGTTCAAGCTTTAGAAGGTACATATCAAATACTAAAAGTTGTAACATATTAACTTGGTAGGCTACACATCTTCCAATATGTTCTAACAGAAACTAGGTCACTGGTCAATAGGGTAGTGTAAGAGCAAACCAAGTCCAAATTATCTAGAAGGAGGAAAATGACAAACATCAGAGCAGAGATAAATGAAACAGAGAATAAGAAAATAATAGAAAGAATCAATGACACCAGAAGTTGGTTTTATAAAGAGATCAATAAAGCTGACAATCCTCTAGCTAGACTGACAACAAAAAAGAGAGAAGATGCAAATATCTAAAATCAGAAATGAAAGTGGGGACATCACAACTGACACTACAGAAATAAAAAGGATCATAAGAGAATGCTAAGAACAATTGTATGCCAACAAAGTAGTTACTTAGATAAAATGGACAAATTCCTAGAAACACAAACTTCCTACACGGACTCAAGAAATAGAAGATATCAAAAAAACCCATAACAAGTGAATGGATTGAATCAGTAATCAGAAACCTTCCATAAAAGAAAAGCCCTGAGTCAGGTGGCTTCACTGGGAAATTCCACCAAACATTTATAGATGAAGTGACTCCAATCCTTCTTAAACTTTTTCAGAAAATAGAAGAGGATAGAACACTTTTTAAATCATTCAGTGAAGGCTAGGATTACTTTGATACCAAAGCCAGGCAAAGACACCAGGAGAAAGGAAAACTACAGACCAATATCCCTGTGAATATAAATGCAAAAATCGTCAAAAAATTCAGCAAACTGAATCC